GTTAGAAACACTGGGTCATGAACGTTGTTGATGTTGGTAGAACTGACCAATCAGAGCGTCGAGGGTTTGTCTCCTGTAAAACACCCCAGCCAGTAGGTGGCAGTAATGCAGCTTAAGTTTACTTACTAACCTACACCGATCGACGCCGACCTGTACCACTGAACAGCTGTGATTGTACTGTGTACATATATATATATATTTACTGGAGTATTTCTGTACCACTTTGTAAATGTACGTCTCTGTTTATCCGAATGTTCCCACAGTGTAATCCCATAAATGAACTGCAGGGGCAGAGTTCTGAGACACGACGGCTTCAGAAGTTGCGCAGACATTTAATTAGTTCTAATGTGTCATTGTTTATGGCTGCCTCTCTGAGTCCCTGTGGGTTTGGGCTTGACTTTATGGAGCAGTGGAGGGGGTTCGGGGGGGGGGTAATGACATGGAGCAGCTCAGTGTGAGTTACAACTGTGTTGTTTCATTAAACTGGGAATGGAATGTTGGTTTGGTTTGGGTGGGATTCACCTTAACACTCCACACATTTAACAACACAAATGATCAATTAGTGATAAATGAGCTGGTGTTGAGTCAGACCCCCACCCCCTGCTGACACACACACACACACACACATTCTCACCCCCTCACCCCCCTCACCCCAGGGTTCTTTCCCTGCACACATTTGTTTGTGGTTCCATCTTTCTCAGTTCCCTGCTGTTACTCGTCCTGGTTTCCCGCCTTTTCCCTGGTGGGTTTCCCGCTCTAACCTTAACTGACCGGCGTGTTGTGGCGGACGTGTCCGACACATGGGTGGGTTAGAGAAACACGGAGTGAGAACCTGAACCCCACTGTGGCCCGTCTCCTCTCTGAGGGTCAGACGTTCTCCAGTTCGCGTCGAATCGTTTTCCCAAAGGGAACTGCGACCTTTGACCTTGTGTCAGTTTTACCCGGCACTTCCTGTAGAATCTTTGACAGATGGACGTGGAACACACGGTGTGAGAGAGGTTTGGTTTCTGTCCGTCGGGAAGTGTTCCAGAGATGAGGAAATCTGAAGTCGGTTTGATATGGAGACAAGTGAAACTTCGCTCAGGAACTTTTTCCCACAGTTGGGTTTTGATTCCACCGACACACGTGTCAAACTCAGGCCCGGGGACCACATCTGGCCCACGGTGTAAATATTTTTGGCCCGTGAGATCAGACCCCCCCCCCATTGGTAGCATTAGCCTCCGTCTGCTCAGGTGTTAGATTTTCTTTCATTTTGTCCTTTTCAAAACTCTGTAACGCCACCTACTGGCCACCTTCTGTGAAACACTTGCTTCTCCTC